GGGGGGGTGTCAGGTCTTATGCTCCACAGGATCTTATCACCGTTAGGGTTGTCAGTTTGAAGCCAAATATCCCTTTCTCCCTCTCTCTCTCTGTCTTTTTCGTCCCTCTCTCTCTCTGTCTCTGTCTCTCTCTCTCACTCTCTCTCTCTCTCTCTCTCTCTCTCTCTCTCTCTCTCTCTCTCTGTGTCTCTGTCAGTTTCTCGCTCATTCTGTTTCCTTTCCTCCCTCCCTCTCTCTTTTTGCATCTGCTTGTCTCTTTTTTCTCTCTTTCTCTATTTCTCCCCCCTCTCTCCTTTCCCCCTCCCTCTCTCTGTCTCTCTCTCACTTCCTGCGCCTCTATTTTCCTCTCTCTGCCGCACCTATTTATAAACACACACACACTCATCTTTGGTTTTCATCCAAGTGTCAAAGTTGGACTAATTAATTAATACAACAAGTTATAGAGATGATGCTGGGTGTTGTTTTGTTTTTACTTTGAATGGTGGTGGAAATTAACCTTTCCTTTGTATTTGTCATTGTTTGCTGTAATACATTTTAATTGTAAATGGCAGCCTAACATCATCCTGAAACCCTTTGTCTATGGCCTGGAACTAGTCAAATGTGTTATCGCATTATTGTCTCAAACAAGTTTTTACTGAGCCTGTACATCTGAAATGTAGCGTAAGACTAAGACGTACATCATTGAAAGCTTGGTTGGATGTATTGGCCCAGGGGAAGCATGAACATGATCAGTAATTTGTTGTGCTACAGTTAAGCTTTGGAATTTTCAGTAACGGGTATTGTTAAAATTGAGGTAATGCAAGTAAAGTAGAGTAAGAAACTTGGTAATAATGAAGTATAAATGTTAAGTCTAACAAGCTAGTGCAACTACTAGCGGAAGTATAGAAATTCGTCACACTTTTTGCTAAATGAACTTTCTTTTCAGTGGAGGCATAGATGAGGAAGGAGATACTGATACTGGACTTGGGTTTTATGAACCGATTACATTTAACATAGTCCATTACGAACAGAAATTTGATTCAAAGAGGGCAGAAGGAAATAGCCTACTTTAAAAAAAACATTTAAAGGTAACTTTCTTTTTTGGCC